GTTACCCTCAGCATACAAGTCAGGGGCCTCACACTTCGTCGCTTTAATCAGGTTACGATCCTAATGAATGTTCTTATCTGGTGGGGAGAGCTGTCAGGAACTGGTCAGCAAACCATGAATTTCTCGAAGAGATTCATAACTGTGATCAATTCCTGAAAAACTCTATCCAAAAGTCGAATACAAACGAAAAAGTGTTACCCTGTAACTGCCGAATGGCATAACGCGATAATTGAATAATCCGCCTTGTATAGTAAATGCGGATATTTCTTGGGCTCGCTGGGTAAGTGGCACTTGGTAATAGCCCCTTAATAAATCCGGGGGTAACATAGGCGGCTCCTGATACTCTGTCTATTAGATCTTCAATACGGGGCAGTGGGAAACCATCTGGTACCGGAGAGCATTAACCTTACGATAATGAGTGCACATTCTAGAAGTTCCATCAGGCTTGGGAACTAATATTCGGGGTGAGGCCCACGGCTTTTACTTCGTTCTATGAGCCATGGGGACAACAAGAATTTTACTTTGTTTAATGCTTCTTGTTTGAGTGGACTTGCCCTATAAGGTGACTGTTTGCAAGGCTAGCTCCTTGTACATCTATGTCATGAATTCCCAATGTGCAACCCCTTAAGGGCGTAAATCGAATAAAAACCTCATAACGTAATATCAGTCTATGATATCTTTTGCTTTTTTCAAATCAAAGTCCATAAGAAAGGTATCAAGAGACTGCAATGTCTCTGAATTTTTTAAACGTACTTCTATGGCTTTAGAGATGCGGGGCCCAGCATCATTTTCATTTTCAGCTAAAGGAAGAACTGTATAATTGTACGATACTAGGGTGGTAAGCCTAAGTTGGTTTTTTGGGATAAGTTCGTTTTGCTTTTCCCTTTTTCTGGAGTTCGTAGTACATAATTTACCTCATTGAGCCACTCATTAAACTTCCAAAGGACCTTCGTATTAGGTTGCAGAGCGTGTCCAGGTAAGAATTTCTGTGCCATCACTGTCCCTGGTTTAAAGAAGCGAGAGCGTGTGTTTTTTGTCATAATGCCCCTCTTGGATTGGGCCTTAGCTAAGTTTTTGAGGCTAATTCCCTCATTTGTGACAAACGCTTTTGCATTAGAGTTGGAGTTGTTTTAAACGAGGGTTCTGATTTTCTGGCCCATGAATCTTTCAGTACGGTTAGGGGGCCGTGTACTTGGTGTCCGAAAATTAATTCAAATGGACTAACCCAGTGCTTTCTTGTTCGCTTTCCCTTAAGGCAAACAGAGAAATGGTATTCCCTCGTCCCAGTCCCGGGAAAACTGCTCGCAGTACGCTCTCAACATTGATTTTAATGTTTGATGAAATCGTTCGAGGGCTCCTTGTGACTGAGGGTGATAAGCCACAAAAAATTAGGGGACTTAATTCCGAGGCGAGATAAGGCATCGCGAAACATCTTAGAGGTCAAGTTTGAACCTTGGGTCGGATTGAATTATTCGGGGAACCCCCACCTGAGAGAAAAATTTTTGGCAAAGCTCGAACAATGATGATAGAATATTTTTCTCAAAGGGATAGCCTCTGGATACGAGTAACGACATCCATAATTGTAAACAGAAAATTGATTCCCTTGTTTGGGTTCGGGGGTAACGGACCATCACAATCTATATCAGGCGTGAGAAGGGCCTCACCACTGACGGGAATCGGAATGAGGGGAACTGGTGGAGGTGTGTGCGAAGGTTTGCCGGTCATTTGGGCCCAGACTTGACAACTTTTTAGATAGCTTTTCCCACAGTTCCTTCTTCTGGGCCAATGAAAATGCTTGGTATTTTGCCCAGCGTTTTTTTTTACTCCAAATGTCCTCCCATGGGACTATGGTGGGGGAAAATATAGCCAATTCTCTAAAAGGTGTTAGGTAGCACTACTAGATGTTTGCTGGTAGACAGATGATCGTCAGAAGACAAAAGAGACTTTTCCTTTCTTTTTAAATATACCATTGGCAAGATAGTAACAATTTTCCAGGTCTTGGGCGTCGTCTTTGTAATAGCTATCTCTCGTAATTTCTCTATGGATGGATCAAGGAACTGATCCTTTTTAAAATCTTCTTTCGATAGCATTTTAATATCAGAATCTTAAAAAGGGCTGATCATAGAATATTTCAGATTTGAAGACCCGGGTTGTAAGGATTGGCTGAACAATAAACCAAGACCTAAATTCCTGCCTTCACTTAGGCCCTCAGTTGACAAAGGATTTTGAGGCGCTCTAGACATTGCTCTAGTTATAACATTGAGAGGAAATAAGGTAGGAGCCTCTTTTCGAGCTTCTATGGAAATAGTTAATGTCGAATTATCAAATAACTAGAAGCTCTCGGCTTATACCCGGATAGTCTAGATCATTGCCCATGAGTAAGTCAATGCCCTGAATAGGAAAAAGTTTTCACTGGATATACCTACCGACACAAAGCCAGTATGGGTTGGTGTTTGGATGTATATCCTGTGGAGAGGCACTCTTTAAAATGGCACCTCCATAGGCTTTAATAACACATCTAGCTTGGTGTGGTCGTATCACTTACGGGAAGTATGCCCTTCTTTAATAAGGTTAAATAACTTTCCAGTATCACGGAAGGAATTTACTTCAACTAATTTTAGCCTCGTCTATCCCAACTTTCACTTTAGCAAAGTAGGGGGCTCGTAGCGAGTGAATATCTTGTTCTGAAATAGCTCTAGTATTGAGTCATCTAGAATGACTACTGATTCATTCTTGCGAACCTTGTTCGGTACTAGGGTTCCAGTTTCTTTTGAGTTGTCGATGAAGATATTACCGAGTTGGGAAACGAAGTCTCCTTTCTGGTATCCCTCTCTAGCCAATAACAGTGTTTCCCTTAAATGCCCCCTTTTATTACAATAAGTGCAGTTCAACTCACTGTTATGCCTTAGTGGTTTTTTAACTTTTCCTAGAGTTAGATCTAAATTTATTATTAATGGGGGTTTTGGAGGCAACATAGGAGGTCGGGCAAGGATTCTGTATGCGAAAGTATCTCCCTAAGATTGGATCGTCCTTTCTTAGGGCATATTTTGTCACTGTTTCCTTACTTTTTGTTTCACGAATCAATTGTTGAGATATTTCATAAAATTTTCGGCGAGCGAGGCTTTCTAGTATATTTACTTGGGGCAACTAATCAATACCTATGCAAGTCTTTTTGGTAATTATTATAGAAATCCTCATGCAGGATCAACTGGGAAAGATTTTCCTTTAGTTTTACAGTTAGAAGGCTACACCATCTCTCAAAAGCGATTTTTTTTTCACGTGCAAATCTACATACGACTGAGTTGGCTGGCTTTTAATGCTCTAAAGGTTTTTTGATAAACTTATGGGAGGAGATATAAGCCTCAAGGATAGTCTTTTTAACAGAATCATAATCCACATATTTCTCAAAAGGTAACGTAGCCGTACAACTTTGAGCTTTACCAGACAACAAAGTATGTAATAAAGTTGCCCCGTGTTGTCGGGGCCAGCGCATAGGGACATGCCTGATTCTCAAAGACTTCAAATTTAAGTATCTAATCAATGTCATCAAAACCTTGGAACCATAGATGCGGCTTTTTGTATATTGAAAGCATTTGAGGATTCAGTACATCTTTCACTCGCATTACCTTCTTTTTTTCTTATATAGCGGAGCGTTTCCCTTTGAAAGTCGTCATTTAATTTACGGTTGAGCCTCAATTTGAGCAGTCTGTAAAATAAATAGTGTCTCTAATTTCTCAAACTGACTATGGAAAAATGCCCCGACGGTATCGAAATGAGGGAATTGATCTGGGGGTACGTGGATATTCCTTTGGAAGTGCACCCCGGTGAGGGACACACTGACCATTAATTGGAATTCCTTTAGTAACAGGCGAATGCAGAACACGGTCGCACCTGCAATACTTCATCTACTTTACTAGAAGCCAAAGCTGGACCTAATCTATCAGGTTCAATTTCAAGATCAACTCCTTGAAATAGTTTATAATACTTCGAATCTCGACTGGTAGCTTATTGAGAAACTAAACTTCAGAGTCAGAATCTCCTGCCCACATGATGGTTAGAGGCCCTGGAACAATTTGTTTCTAATTATTGCCCTTACGGTATTGGCTGTGTAAATATCTATTGTATGGTACTCCCAATTTTCGGGCTATTGCCAACACATTTGAAG